CATTCAAGCTAAAACAGAAGAGAAGGAAAAGCATTGCTGTCACCATCACATGGCAAGAATTCTGACTTGACGCCCAAAGAGGGGACAAGGAAAGATGCAGGGGTCTTGAGAAAGACGATTGACTTGACATGGATAAGCCCCTGAATCCGCCAGAACGGGTGGTGTGGTTCCCCTCCTCTTCCAGAAGGACATTGCATGAATGTGCAAGGAAGCTTTTGAACCTTACTCCGTACAGGCATCCCATTTTTCCTGTCTACTTCGATATAGGAAGCTGCATCAGTTTGACACATCCGAAGAGAAGCTTCAACACACGCTATCAGCAATCATGACTGATATTCACTGATAGATCTATCTTGTATCTTGTTCGCGTCAACTTGACTTATCTCTGGGCTCAATCTACAGTTCAAAATCAGCGCCATGTGCCCACTGCCCACGGCGGCTAGTCACACTTTCACATACCCAATCACCGCTATCTTGTATCATGGGATTTGACGACCAGATATCCTCAGCAGATGTTTGCAGGTAAGGAACGCAGCTATCCGAAGTATTTTCTTCTCATCATGAGATTTTACCACAAATCTCTCGATGAACGCTCCAAGCAAAAGCAAGCACGCATTGTACACACTTCAACTGCCAATCACCCCTGTCTGACATCATGGGTCCCAAAGCTCTCCAATCTCTCCAGCTCAGGGGAGGCGCTCGCTAGCTTCTCTTAGAGAAGGTTTCATGGAACCTTTCGAAGCCGGCTTTTGGCAGTTTCTCTGTTGGTTTGCAGCGCATTTCCGCTCCCCATTCGGGAATAGTCAAAGAACATGCATTACAGTATGCAAATCTGAAACGCGTGGCTCAATGCACAGGCCAGCAACAAAAAGCTTCTGTGCAGAAGAATCCCACTGTCAAGCATCATGTAAAAGCCCAATCGAGGAACATGGACAAAGAAGGCTTGCATGTAGAATGCTAGAATCGGCCAGAATGAACTTGGGATATTGAGGCTAAAACGTAGCTTGAAACATAGAACTGTCCGCTTTTGGCTCGACCTGCTTGTACGCTACTGTATGTCTGTTTATGCCTCAGCTGCAACTATCGACGATCTTTCCACAAACCACTCGGGGATTAACCACATTCTGTCCATGATCATCACTTCTCCTCCGCAATCACCCAGAGCTGGTCTTGTTTAATATCCGAGACCTTGGAACTTTGCAAATCTCTTTCCACATATCGTATCGGCCATCGCCCGAATGCTGTGAAACTTGAACCTCAGCTCAATAGGCAGCCTACATCAAGACCATCTCGTATTATTCCCGTGACACTTGACCACTGTATGTATGTATGTATGTATGTACACATTTTGACTTTTTCACTTCGTCGATCCTGAAACAAGGTGCCATCCCGACTTTGTATGTGGATAGTGTTCATGCGGAGACCAGAAGTGGAAATACTCCCGTCCAAAGTCGGGTGCCAAGATGAATTAGAACTCGACGCTCTTGTTTCAGGAATTCGAGCGCCTCCGCATTTTCTCTTCCTCCATGTTACAGCCTTGTAGGTGGGTTCTCGTGGCTTTCCTGCGCTTCGATAAGCTTTGGGCTATGGCTTGACGATGTTTGTTTTTGGCACTGTCGATCCCGCTAATGCTTGGGTGAAGCTGTCAACAGCACATGGATATGCCTTGCCGAGGTCGAGAGCCGTGAAAGCTAGGATGATCTTGAAAGGGACTGAACGCGGGGTTGAGTTCGTTAACCTGGTAAATGCAAACTTCAGGTGAAGAGTTGAGGCTGTTTGCGCAAAGGGTATAGATTCCGAGTTGAGAATAAACTTTCTATGGTGTATATTCTGGATATTGCGGCTTGCATCCGACAAGTCGGCCAAAGAGAACCAGACATCCCATCAAAGAGAATGTCACAGCCCTTCTCACTCTTTGTTGCACAGCCTCCCCAAAGACCTCTGGTCCCTTCCAAAAGACAGGATAGTTATCATGAGACCAGCAAACTGTCATGACAGAGAGAAGCATTCCCACTGTACCCAATGCGCCACCCTTCTTGTCCATGATCAAGCTGATCATGTTGCGAAAGAAGACCTCTTTGTCCCCATCGCCAGGCTCAGTCCATTCCCTCACAACCAGATCAACGTCCTTTCCCGCTTTCCCTTCGTCCGTCTTGTCCGCGCGCATGTATTGGTGGATTGTGTACCGCGGTATGGTGATGATCCCGTCATCCTTTGAGAAGACAGCTGTGCGGTCTCCGACTGTCACAAGAGCATAGCCTTGGACGACTTGGAGGTACTCCGTGTGAGTCTCGTGCCAGTGAAGGCCTGTGCCCGGTGTGTTATCGCCGGCTCTCAAGTAGATATCAACGACTCCCGGTTTGTTTGTTTGGGATGAGAAGTCGATGCCTCCAGGTGGAATGAAGAGCTTGTCCTGGTTTCGTGTGACTGTGCGGGTCATGATGAACTGCTATAAATCCGGTAGATTTAGGTGAGAGTTTTCGTGCAACATATCCCTGATTGTCTCTGTTCATGAAGTGGCATATCATTCACTGCGACTTATATATCTCTCTTGGAGCCCGTCAGCTCGTCGGCGACTTTCGTCGTGATGCGGGAAGTGTTACGCCGATCGAGTACTTTTTCCGGCCTGGTCTGGAAGTAAGCGCCAGCATCAAATAACTGACAGCAAAAAATGCCCAGGGCTAGACTGAACACAAGGTCTTTGGTCGCTCCTAATGCTTATGGAATGCCTACCTATTTAGTTTGCTCTTGATGAGCTCGAGACCAGATGTCTGCTGCTGAATCCACCTACCCTACAATGAACAAATGCATCTCCTGCTCTCACACCAACACTTCCTGACTTATCTTCGGGCTTGCTGGTATAAAGTCGGAGTGAAATAAATCTCTATTGCTCGGTGACCGGATGATTTGTTTCTTACTCGGCGCCATATAGGTTGATGGATCGGCTATAGAGATGTTTACCATCCTCACTCAACGCAGAACTGCACGCTGTCGATTCCTCACTAGCTCTTAGCCATTCCCATCGTGAAGGGAATCATGGCGCGCACTTGACCGACGTAGTTGAAATGGAGCCTTTGACATCGTGGGGATACAGACTGCCGAACCAAGCAGTTAAATTGGCGTTCTATAGTATAAGCCTGTCTAAGCATTTGTTAGCCCAATAACCTTTATCAGCTGGAGTTCACTTGATGGCTGAGACCGTAGCTCAGTCATGTATCACGCAAAGAGTCACTTCACTGGAGAAATACTGCTTGCCATTGCACCAAGTCTGGGCTCATGCCGTCTGGGTATGTAGGGTCATTAGTAATATGCTGCTGTCCTGATTGACCGATGATAACTCACACAACACCCAACAGAGGATAACCAGATTGCGGACTTGGCCATTCATAATAACGCCCACGTCCTAGTGTATTCTAAGCTTATTAGAACTTACAAAGCACAAAACAGACAGATCGCGTATGTGATCCGGTCGCTTACAGCTGTGACAACTGGAAACGGCACAGAACTGCCGATTAGAATAGCTGATCACTTAAACCTCTTTCGTTGGAGAATCTTCAGCGATATAACACTAGAGTTGCGATAACTGAGGAAAAGCAAAGAGAGGGTTGGGGTTCTTTGCACTGGAAGAGCATTGATCGTCATTGTTGTCTTAAATTGATCATGCCGACATGGGATAGACGTGGGGGTTCTTCTAACCCAGGTCAAGGAGGTTCCTCAGCTTGTGAAGAAGTATGGATGCAATCACACTATTTACACCATTTTACGATGCGTATCAAGATGAAACCGGGGGGATTTGGCATTGCCTAGTCCAACTGGCGACAACTGATGAGAAAGTCTGTTGAAGACTTTTGCAACGGCAGAGCAACTCTCTCGAACGTCACGTTCTTTAGAGTCACAAATGCGCTCCAGATGTCCTGTGACCTGGGAATATTTCTCCAGTCCGGTATGCATCTCTGAACCCAGTTCAAGCTCAGCTGGTCGTCACGGAATTATCCTTGATTGGGAGTCCTGAATGTGCAATATGGACAGTGGATTCCTACTATTAGCCCGCAACCCTGGCGTAGTAGGGTTTGAAGATCTGCGAAAAGCAGGCAAAGCGCCTCGCGATCAGAAAGAGGCACTCTATCTATAGAACACATTGTAATGGCCACTTCTCATCCAGGCTGGGCGACCCGACCCCAATGCGAAGGGCTACCTATTCCAGTATCGGGACCGAGGAGCTCATAGTGTTCGTCTTGTGACAGGGGAACCTCTGATATCCACGTTCTCGAAAACTTGTATGATAAGTTCCTCTACTCCTTGTGATGGAATCGAGCATGCTCCTAATTATAGTTGTTTGCGACTGTATTCCTCAAGTCTTGACGGCATAGAATGTGAATGTAAATTCCCGAACAACAAAGTCCAACTTGATAGGGAGCAACTCATCTCTTGTCGCACTTCATCCTGATACATTTGTAGAGTTAGCGTCAGAGGCATGTCCACTCTCTCCTGTCATAGTATTCCCCCGATCTGGGTATCTTTTCAAGCTCCTATCTCGATTGCCTTCTGGTCTCTGAGCCGCTAACCCAACGGCTGAACACTCGGTCCCCAGCCTAACTTGCCTTCTTCAATTCACGCTTACACCATTCCTCCAAGCCTCCAGAGCTATGATTTCTTGCACATTTAGCCGAATGTCGCCAACCTTTTCTGGCCACTTTTCTCCGCCTTCGCCTTCCTGAACGTGAACCATACTCTTCTTCACATCCCACTCGAGCGTCCATCCAGTTCTGAACGTAGGGATGGGGTTCTTTGCGTCCTTCGGAAAAGCGGCACCGAGCCGTTGAACGAGACGTGGCAATTTGAGTCCCGAAAGGCCGTTGTTAATGGAGTTGCGGGAGAAGGTATTGCTGAAGCTGCCAGCAACGACAATATGAATGGAGTTGGTAAGGATAGCGGTGGCAGCCTGCTCACGAGAGGAACCGCAGCCCAAGCCATTCCCAGAAACGAGAATGCCGTTTGGCCTAATGAGTTTCTGGATATCTGGGTCGTAATTTCTCATGCAGGCTTTTGCCATAGCTTCCTTGGACACATTGCTTTCGTAGGTCATCGATCCAGGATAGATCTGGCCGGTATCCTGGTTGTCCATGCTCATGAAAACGATTTCTCCTCGAACAGGCTCTGGGAAGTCTGGGAGGATCAACTGTAGCAGCATTTGGTGATGCCTCTGTTGACTCGACGTTACCAATGAACGAGTCTGACTGCTTAACGATGTCATTGAGATCACCCTCGACGCTGCGAGGCTGCCCACTGCCATAACCATGGTCAACCCCAGTCCAATTATCGGGTACTTTATAAGCAACTGGTCCGGAAATGAGCCCTTTGAGTGCGTAGGCTGCCACGACTTCCGGGCTACCAAGATGGGCGAGTGCCTCGCACGACCCTATTCTGCCCTTAAAGCTACGGTTAGAGGCACTGATGTCTACTTCACCGGGTTCAAGAAGCCCAGTGCCGATTCCGATACAAGGCCCGCAGCCTGGAACAAGCGCCTCAGCACCGGCATCAAGTAGTACTTGCCAGTCACCGGAGTCCTCAGCTGCCTCTTGTTCGTGTGACGATGCTGCCGCGATGAACATTTTAACACCATCCGCGATCTTTGGAACAACACCTCCGTTGGCTTTTGCAGCCTCTTTGAACACGGCGGCTGCGGCTTGGATGTCTGAGTGTCGAGAGTTTGTGCAGCTCACAACTGCCCAATTTAGCATGAGCATATTATCCTCGTATTGGACCTTCTAACTTACGATATGCCTTATCGATCTTGATGTTTCTAGGTGCCAGTTCATGCAATGGTGTAGCAATTTCGACAGAAACAGGACCAGAGACATAAAGAGAGAGAGTACCAAGATTGAGATACAATTGCTTTGCATACAGAACATCGGGGTCAGCAACCAATGGACTGGCGAAAAGCTCATCGATTCGTTCGTGTGTGATGCGCTCCTTGGTTGAGCGGTCCGGAAACATGGCTACTTCGGTAGCTTTATACCGCAGCCAGCGCTCGAGTGTAGTATCAATAGGAAACACTGTAAAGGTCAGCACTTGGTGGAAACGAAGTGATGGTCAGGGGAATCGTACGTCCCGACAGCACGCCCCATTCTGTTGTCATGTTGCTGATCTAATTAATGGCGTTCGTAGCGAGACCCCCTAGAAGTTGCATTTTAACAATATACCGTAAGTCGGGTATCAACAGGGATGCTGCTCATTGTTTCTTCAGATCCCGTAAACCCAATACAATGGTTGAGAATTGTTGTTGAACAAACCACAAAGAGCAACGATGAGGTCTTTGCCCGTGACACCTTTGGGCATAACGCCGGTCAGGCGTGTTCGTCCTGATGCTGAGTGTCATAGCTAATGACTGGCTTATTCTGCAAGATCCGCAGAACTTGCCTGTAACTTAATTATTTTTTCTCCTCATGCTCGTGTCAATGACATTTCCTCATTTTCAACCCCAAGACCCTCTACTTTAGTACCTCCTGCACTAGAGCCTAGAGTAAGTGAGTTCAAAGATGTTTAGATGCAAGATCCCTTACTCTTTTCTAAACGGACTTCAATGCACGTCTTGGCTAGGATTAGACAGGGCTGAGAATGGCAGGCATGCTTGATATTAATCGAGGCCTTCTACAAGAGAAAGTCTTAAGCTGCCCACAAGGTCGTTGGAGTCCTCGAGGCTGTAAAGATCCAGAGTTTTGTTGGTACCGAGACTATATTAATATTTGTGTCATCCATCATAAGGAGGATGAAGTTCGTATTTGAGTAACACCCAAGACCCGTGTCTTGTGCGAAACATCGTTTTCAGGTAGTTGAGAAGGGGAAAGACACATGATAAATGATTGGCTTGGAGGAAAAGAGTCCAGGAGCTGGATCAATTCAGGGAAGTTACATTCTCAAGCTACATGAGGGCATAGTCTCATGATGACCACCATTTACTACCAATAGGAAGGGTCTGTGAAGGTCATATCAGCCGTGGCTGCAGCTCATGCATGTCAGGTCAGCACATCCTAACTTGGTCTGTAAGAAGACTACAATATTTTCAAGCATTGGGAGATCGAGTTGAATTACATAAAGATCAGACCAGAAAAATCCTTTATGCTAACCCAACTTTTAGAGTATATGACAGGCATAGAGGTCAAGACAGTAGTGCCACGTATAAATACATACTTCCTTGTGCAACCACATTGGCGTCCCAAGATCTCAGCTCTCATGTCTGCATATCAGGCCTGCTGAGTGGCAGCATCGTCGCAAACACAAAAGTATTTCAGTCGCCTGACATATATCCCGATAGACTCATGATGCTTGGCGTGATTCTATTGTTAGCTAAATGTGTTACTTGCAGTTGAGGCTCGTGGCTGACAACTCAAGTCAGCACAGAGAACTTAGCGATTCTGTGTGATCTTAGCCAATCACTTGTGATATGAAAGCTAAAGGAAATGAAATTACAGGCCATTGGCCCTGTTAGTATTAGTCTATACTTTTTACTGAAGTGTCATGGATGTTTCCAAGATATAGAAGTTTTGACCTTCGAAAACGCTAAGGAGGGTTTGACTAAGGACGAGCCCAACGAGACACCCATCACTCTTATGCGGAAGTATATCGGAGATCGAAGCGGAGTTTGCTTTCCTTAGGTCAGACAGTATTGGACGTTGCAACGTCATTACTTATGTGCTGGAGTTAAGGCTCCTTGTTCGGAGTTAAGACGCAGCTCCCCTCCTCAGACTACCATCATGCACTGCACATATCCGGAGTTAGTTTCCGGTGATAGTGATCATGTTATGTGTAACTTGATGAGGGGAATCAAGTCAATGTCCAGAAGCACAGCTTCCATACATTGAATAGGTTGACATAGGAGAAGGAGCAGACATATAAAGTTCGGCTGGTTTCTGGTTCACATCCCATTTTGCCATCTCACCTACTCTCCTTTCCAAACTCAGATCACGTATTATTCTCCTCAATCATCATGGTACCTCCGGCCTCTCTGCCCACTAAACCTCTCAGCAAGACAGGACGTCAAATACCTGCTCTTGGCTTCGGATTGATGGGTTTGAGTGTAGTCTATGGTCCCATTGAGTAAGCTCCCTACCATATGCGAATACTGTCCATACTGACATTCACCCTTTAGCAATGATGAGAAACGCCTAGCAGTTCTGGACCGCGCCTGGGAGCTCGGCTATACGAACTGGGACACAGCAAATGCCTATGGTGATAGCGAGGTCCTGCTCGGAAAGTGGTTCAAGCTGCACCTGGAGCGTCGGGCTGACATATTTCTTGCTACAAAGTTTGGCTTGAGAACTGGAATCGACGAAAACGGGGCGTGGACTAGGTGGGCTGATAACAGTCCTGAATTCTTCAATGAGTGTCTCGAGGGTAGTTTGCAAAAGATGGGTGTTGATTATGTTGATCTTTACTATGCTCATCGTCTTGACACCAAGGTGCCCGTTGAGAAGACTATGGAGCTGATGGTCAAGGCTAAGCAGTAAGCTACACTAACCAGAGTCCCTCAGATCTTGGGCCATGTTGATATTTGTGTATCAGAGAAGGCAAAATCAAAGCCATTGGCATCTCCGAATGCGCCGCCAGCAGCATCCGTCGAGCTTACGCCGTCGCCCCCGTCGATGCCATCCAGGTTGAATACAGTCCTTTCACATTGGACATTGAAAAGGAGGAGATACTCTCCACTTGTCGAGAGCTTGGGATCACCATCTTCGCGTACTCACCTCTGGGCCGTGGCTTTTTGACAGGTCAGATAAAAAGCAGTGATGACTTTGCGCCTGAGGACCTCCGCCGCATGTTACCTCGCTTTAGCCCTGAGAACTTCCCAAAGAACCTAGTTCTTGTTGAACGCCTCAAGGCACTTGCAGATGAGAAGGGCTGCACGTCGGGTCAGTTGGTGCTCGCCTGGCTGTCGGCGCTGGGCGAGGATATTATCCCAATTCCCGGAACGAAGAAGATTAAGTATATGGAGGAGAATCTAGGGGCACTCAACGTGCAGCTCTCTCCAGAGGATGTGCAGAAGATCAGGGATGAGGTCGAGAAGGCTGAGGTTGCGGGCCATCGAAACCCGCCGGGTTTGTTCAATGAGTATACGGTTACTGTTGAGCTTTGAGGGATTCATTAGTTGATACTTCGAGTTCATGATATCTCAATGAAACATATCAAGCTAGTACATTGAGAAATTCAAATCAAGTTGAATCTATGGTGTATGGACAATAGGTCTTGGTGAAGCTCCCAGCCCCAAAAGTTCCAGACGCATTAAAATTATTCTTACAAAAGACGTTAAATATTCAAACTGTAATTATCAAGATCTATTCTAGTGGTATAACAACGCTAGTCGTGACAACAAATCATACAAAATCAACCCAACAACCCTTTTACTCGTCATTACTCCACTTCCAGGCTTCCGAGATAGCCTTCCAGTACTGCTCAGGATGCTCACGCATGTGTCCAACATGGTCAGTATCCACAAACAGCTCTTGTCGAGTCTCATAGCCTCTCTGCTGAGACTCAGCAATATAGCCCTCAATATCCATATGAGAAATAATCTGATCCTCCTTGCTGTAGAGATACAATCGCTTGGAGTCTAGTGTCTCGTAGTTTGTATCGTCCACAACTCGCAGTGCGAAGGCACCAGAAGGCTCTCCACCTGTCAGCTTCTTGATAATAACGTCTAAGGTGAGGACAAAGCCCCAGATGCCCTTGGTGATGACAAAAGGCCAGGGGAAGAACTTGGCGGTGCCGAGGGCCATGGCGTGGGACCATTGACCTAATCTTTCCCATGACCAAAAGGGGTTTCCGGGCGTTGAGTCAAGAACAAGAAGTTGATGAGGCATCTGTCTACCATTCTTGTCTCTGAAAGCCTTGAGCGTAGTGGCATAGCTGATAGCACCCGTGTTGGACATGCTGTGAATAAGAATAGGGGCTGTCTTTTCTTCGAGAAGTCCATCGAGGTTGTCGATAACGTGCTGCATAGCGCGTGTTCGTGTCTCAAGACCCGTGAACATGGCGTCGGAAATAGGGCTCAAAATGATAAGAATCTTCGAATGAGGGAAAAGAGCGCGATAGCCATCAGCATATTTCCCAACATGTCTGGCAAGTCCATCGCCCCAGCCGTAGATGACAACAGCAGCTGGATGATCGGCGGGCGCTTTCTCTGAAGTTTCCTCGCTGACGAGAAGTTTGGCGTTGATTGTTTTGAAGCCCGCAAGCTCAGGAAGTTTTTTACCCGACATTTTCTAGGTTATAATTAGACTGTATAAAAGGTATCCGTTGTGCTGACGAGGAATTGACGAGGGAGAGATCCATGGGAGGCAAAGACATTTTATATATCTCCTTAAAATAAACTAAGTTTTTTTAGTTTCAAAGGATCGAGTAATGTGTCGATTGCTGACATGGATTTTTGGCCTGTCAGATTCTATTGGGGACCGCGTATAAAGTCCGTCGGACGTTTATGCGGAAGAATTGCTGCTTTTGGGTATTGGAGCGGTCCCAGCAAAACATCCTGCGTCCCAACAATATGCAAGCCGAGGTTCGCAGAGACTTTTATTATAAATTTGGAGATGGCGTCGGGGAGTTTTATATAATACTGTAAGTGACGTGTACATGTATTCATGTGAGTTCGATTGCGTTTACAAAGCTGAATGGCATGGCAATTGAAGGACGGCACAACGTTGATCCACTTATCAGCACAGATTTAGAGACTGGACATTAAAATGCACAGATCAGTCTTGGCATGCGTCAAGATGAAATATTATGCGCCAAGCGTTGGATCTAACGACGAGTCATCTCCTTTGGAGTTATCAAGTTTGCGTGTATCTTACTCAGCCTTGCTATAGCCTAAAGACCAATCCGCTATTGGATTCACCCAATTTGTCAAACAGTTGTTGGATGGTAGACCTCAGCCTGTAGTAAGCTAGGGAACATAAGAGGTTAGACAAGACTGAAAATGTAGGACTAAATGATGAGGGTCTTGAGGGTGATCCCAGAATCAAGTACACGCAGTCGTCGATGAGTTTGCTCAGATATTGATCGAAGCTATTCAAACAACATGACGCTCACTCAATCAAACAAACGAAAGAACATAAAATCGTCATAACTAGGTACTCACCTAGCATG